CCTGGAACACTCCCAGGGATGGAGCAGCCACAGCTGCTCTGGGCACCCTGTGCCAGAGCCTCAACACCCTCAGAGGGAACAATTCCTTCCCAATATCCCATCTATCCCAGTGTCAGTGGGGAGCCATTCCCCCTTGTCCTGTCCCTGCAGGTCCTTGTCCCAAGTCCCTCTCCAGCTCTCTTGGAGCCCCTTTAGGCACTGGAAGAGGCTCTAGTGTCTCCCTGCAGCCTTTTCTTCTCCAGGCTCCACACCCCCAGCTCTCTCAGCCTGGCTCCATGGCAGAGATGCTCCAGCCCTTGGAGCATCTTCCTGACCTCTCTGGACTTGCTCCAGCAGGTCCTTGTCCTTTGTATTTTGGGATCTCCAGGGCTGGTTTGCTTCCTTGGGCCCCTTGTGTCCAATTTTCTGGCTGAGTAGGTCAAGTCTGCTGTTGCTGCTCTTCTCACTGACACATTTAACATATGCTTCCTCCCACAGACAGTTTTCCACAATGTTCATGTTTCTCACCTCTCTTCTGAGCAAGCCCACAGGCCCTGGGTGACTCTGGGACTCCCTGTTAAGGTGCCAGTTGGTGTTATTATTGATGCTGCTCCTCAAGGAGCCAAGCCACAGCCATACACCTCCTTTTTTCTGGTCCACTGGAGGGTTACTGGCCAGCACAGCTGTATGTCCCAGCTGGATATTCCCCAGTGACCCAGAGGCAATGCCTCACCCCACCAAGCCCATGACATTTAAAAATTGCCCACCTGGGATTGTTGCATCCATTGTGTTGCCTTTGATTTTGTTTTCACAGGGCTTTTCTCATTCAGTGGCACAGGCAGAGGAGCCTGAAGCAGCCAAGTGATGCCAAATGCCAGTCACCCTTTGAGTGCTTAGTAGATACTGATGCTCTCTCTGTTGTGTGTCTTTTTGTGTGTTTCAGGAAAAAAGTGCCAGTTCAAATGTAAGACTTAAATCTAATAAAGAGGTCCCAGGATTAGTACATCAACCCAGAGCAAAGTAAGTTCCATTTTCTTTGTTGTTTAAATGGTAATACAAACGAACAGAGGGTTAAGCAGTGTCTGTGGGATTTGGATACTGCCTGGACCAGTGGGTGGCTCCAGCAGCCCCCAAACCATGCTCAGTTAAAGCCCCATGAGTTTTCCTGTGTCCTGAGCCCCATGGCACAGCCCTGGGCAGCTCTTGTGTGACATCCCTCAGCATCCTCTGCTACACAGAGCTTACAGATGTGTGAGATGCCTCTTGCCAGGCCTTGTAGGAAACCCAGACTGTGTTATTGCTCAGCTTCCCTACAACTTGCACCTAAAGAAAATGATATATCCACTAGTGTTCCTAAATACTATTAGTTAAGTTCCCAGGGAGGTTTTTGCTAGCTCTTCACTTAGGTAGCGTTTTTACTGCCTGGGATTGGGAATGGTGAGTTTCTTCCACTGAAAATGGTGATGCTGCTTTGTAGCTGAGAGTTTCCCATCCTTGGTTGGCAGCTCTGTGCCCATAGCCTGGCTGGGATCACTCAGTGTTCCATATGCTATGAGATACTCATCTCTTGTGACAGACCTCATTATTGATATCAGTAATTCATTTCTTATCTAAATCAGTGTTACATTGCCATCACTAATTGGTTTCAAACGAGCAGATTCCATGCAGCCATATATCAGGTTCCTAACGAAGACATGATGGAGCTTTGCTGTTGGGTTTGGAACACTAGTGGAAATGCTGTTCTTTATGAGTGCCTTCAGGGCACTTATTAACTTAAGCTGCATATCAAGTGCCTTGAACATGGTTTCAAGTCTGGAAACTTTAGTAATTTCCTAATCAACTGACAGGATAATTCAGGCTCCTTTCAAAGGGGAGGCCAGAGTGCTTTGGATGTAATAGCAAAGAAATTCACAGGAGGGACGTGGAGGTTAAATCACTCTTCAGCCAAGCTGTACTTCAGTATTGTGGCTCAGCCCTCCCAGCAGGATCAGAGATGTGTTTAAGATTCTTTAACAGGAGGCTGATCACCCTGGGCTGAAAAAGAGCTGTGGCTTTTGGTGGGTCATCCAAGCAGAGGAGCTGTGTGGGGCCAGGGGATCCACTCTTTCATCAAACTTTGAGTTTTGAAGTCCCCACAGAAATCAGAACTCATATTCACTCACCAAAACACCTGTTTTTTTTCTCATTGCATTAGCAGAGTGCAAAAATAAGGAAACTTCTCAGAGAGAGAATGAAATACTAGGTTGTTGGGTAGAACTCCACTTGTTTGCCCAAGGCTGTTTGCCCAACCTTCCACTGCCTTTCTGTTTATAAAGTGGCTACATGTGTTTGAGTTGCTAATCACCAAGTCAGCAAATAGCTGTTATCATGTACAATTTTCTTTTTAAGGCTGATTCCCTAAGCCCCATGACAATTCTGGCTGCAGGGAGGGGTGGCATTGGGGGGAGAAGGGCAACTTAGCTGAAAGAGCAGAAATGAATAGATCATTAGGTGCATATTGTAGGACCTTTCATGTAGAACAGGTGTTATTTCAAAACAAAACATGGACTGGGTACCAAATTGTAAGTTCTTGTACAATGGAGGGAGTTTTAATGTGTCAGCTGATAAGGAATATTGTGAGGGCTCTTTGTCAGTGTGGGAGGATTTAGATTTTTATGTCTACATCCCTGGACTGGAAAACAGTGTTTGTAGGGAGGCAGCAGTGGGTTTATGGGAGTTTGACACAGGCCAAGGTGTTGGTTCTCCCTCTTTACCCTGAGTCCTGGTACCTGCCATACCTTCCTGGGCTTCCTGCATCCTGCCCCAACCCCTCAGGCACTTGCTCTGTTTGTTCATCCTCAAAACTCACTGCACTGACATTTTTAAGGATCAACTACACCCCATCAAGTACACTGCGACAGGTTTGTAACTCAAGGAGTAACAGCAGCCTGAAGCATAAAATGAGAGTAGTATTTCACACTGGTTTTCCCCTGCTGAATCACAGACTCACAGAATGGTTTGGGTTGGCAAGGACCTTAAAAATCATCTAATCCAACTCCCTGTCATGGGCTGGGACACCTCCCATCAGAGCAGGTTGCTCAAGACTCCCAAATCTCATATATATCCCATCTTTTGGGATATATCCCAATATCCCATCTTTTGGCAAAATGTGTTTCATTGGCTTGCCATGAAACAGCTGAAAATGCATTCCTGTGCATCCTGATGTGCTTCTCAGGAGGAAAATTAAATCTGTGTTTCTACTTGGGAAAAGCCTTTTTTCTGCTTTGATTTGATGGGTTTCTGACTCTTCCAGTTGTTCATTACCTCTGTACCTTCCCTGCTCTGCCACAGATGCCACAATTCCCCACACAGCTCCTCAAAACACACACTGTCAGCACTGGGGAGTGTGTTGCATCTCTCAATCATAGGCCAAGGTTTTGCTGCTCGAAACTTGTGTGAAGATCATGGACTGTTCAGGACTTTAAGACCTCTCCTAGGAATCTTCATGTATGTGGCATTGCAAAACTCCATTTTTTCCTGCCTTTTTTTTTTTAGTTTTCTTATAAGCTGTAGTCGGGCTGAGTCACTACATATCAGCTCAATTTATTAGAAATTGGATTTATGCTGTTACAAAGGCAAAACTAGCACTAAGCTACCCAGGAAGGGCTGTCCTGCCCTAAAATCCCTCTCCCAGACACCTGAACATGCAGGTGACTCTGTCACTGCTCCAAGCAGTCACTTCCCACCTGAGATGGGAACCTGAGGGATTGGCAGGCAGCTGGGGACAAAAACTCCACAACCACTGAAAGGTGGATTGTTCCCCCTCCTGAATCACCAGCTTTAGGTTTTAATGCCACTTCTGAGACCTTCTCTTCTGAACTGAGCCTTCCTTTATGTCCAACATAAGCAAATCATTGTATATGTTCATCCTGATAGCGAGGGAGGTCTGAATGCTGAGCTTTGTGGGGAAGTGCAGCCTGTGGTTGGGCACTTAGGGAAGAGTATTAACTCATTACAGCTGAGGAAGAGGGGATGGGTGGGAATTCAGCAGGCCAAGCCAGCTTTTTGTGCTGGAGAGAATCTCCAGGATCTGGGAGTCCTTCTGACCGTTTGGCATCACTGTTAGCACTGGCACCAGTCCCCATCCTCCTTTTTTTGTTGCACACTGAGTCCCTGGCACATTTCCCCAGCCCCCTGAGGGCCCAGGTGCTCCTCCCTGCTGTGGGTCCAGAGGATGCTCCAGCCTCACCTTCCCAGAGGGATGTTATTAATGCAGGAAGGAGGTTCTCACCAACCCCTAACATAAATAAAGCAGGCACACCCCAGATACTGTCTGCCATGCATCCTCATCCTTGTCTCCTTGTCCTTTCCTTTGTGTTTGGCCTTCCTGTGTTTTTAGCTTCCAGATCCCCCTTGGGGAAGGGCCTGAGGTCTTGTGGCACCAACAGTGTTTTACAGACAGCGAGAAGGAGTGTTTTCCAGCCTGCTTTACTCATCCAAAATCATAGAATCCTAGAATTTTAGGGGCTGGAATGGACCTTACAGATCATCTAGTCCCAACCCCTGCCCTGGGCAGGGACACCTCCCACTGTGTGGATATGATCCCCAAATCATATCACTGAGCCTCTTGGTGCTCCAGAATTAGTGGAAGTGAAGGGGCTGGAGCACAGGTTTGAGGAGGAGAGCTGAGGGAGCTGTGAGGGCTCAGTCTGGAGAAAAGGAGGCTCAGGGGGAACTTTCTGCTCTCAACAACTCCTTGACAGGAAATGGTTGCAATTGTCAGTCTCTTCTTCCAGGTACCAAGCAACAGGACAAGAGAAAACGTGCAGTCACCATCCCTGGAGGGATTTAAAAGCCATGTAGATGTGACAACTGGGGACTTGATTAGTGGTGTGCTTGACAGTGCTGGGGAACAGTTGGACTCACTGATCTCAGAGGCCTTGTCCAACCTAAATGATTCTCTGATTCCATGAATACCCTGCTGGGCCCACTGTAAGGACCAGCCCTGTGGGAGGGAGGACCAGCCTGAGCTCACAGATGCTTCTGGGGCTTGGGTGCAGGTGTCTTCTGTAGCAGGACACACAGATCTTCCAGTGCCAGGCTTTAACCTCCTATTGTAGCATCTCATTCTGTGCTGGTGAGGTCAGCAGTCTTGGAAAACCTATCTTGGCACAGAGGGGGTTCTCACTGGCCCAGGGAAAGGTGGTGGGCTGCTGAGTCTCTGCAGTCTGCCTGGAAAAGGGAATTAGTCTCCTCTGGACACACTGATCCGAGTTACCATTCTGAGTGCAGCACATCACACAGGACTGAATGCAGGAATTCTGTGGGCAATCCAAAATAGGGGGAAAAAAAAGGTTTAAAAATTACATTGCAGATGATGTGTGAAGTGATTTGTTCTGCAGTGGTGTGAGCTGACAGCTGGGTCCCTCAGCCACCCTGGGCTGCAGTATCAGCATTTTGTGTCATAATTCCTACCAAACCCTGTGGTACTAAAGCTGTTCCTTTGCCTTGCAGCATGCACATCTCTGAAAGCCAACAGGAATTCTTCAGAATGCTCGATGAAAAAATTGAAAAGGTAAGACATAAGAGTGTGAACACATGTTCTCACTCAGGGGTGGGCACAGAGCTCTGTGGGGAGAACAACTGGACACTGCCTGCTGCAGCACACACATTCTCCATGATTTGGAGGGGCCCAGGATCTCCTTTACTGCTTCATGGTTACATAGTTCAAGTGCAAAGAAGACCAGAAAGGTAAAGAGTTTGCAGGAGGTACAGGACAGAATCCTTTGTATTGTGGGAACTTCACCAGTTGAAGATGAATGGCAAGTTAACTCCAATGTTAGGAGATGTACATGGATGTACATGGACTGCTGGATAAAAGAGCAAAGTAGGATTTTATGTCATTAGTGGTCTGATCTTTCATTTAATCTCTGTGGGAGACAACTGGAATCTTACTGCCTGTAGTATCTGGGATACCCTGGTCATTTCTTGCTGAATCTCTTAAAACAGCTCCTGGCTCCAAGGGACAGTGTAGCTGTAAGTAGGGATAACTCTGCCTAAGTGCTGTGCTGGGAGAAATAATGATGCTGGAGGTGTTTGGAAGAAGGGAGTGAATAGTTCTTTGCACATCTCATTGTCTTGAGCAGCTTTCCTGTGCTTCACAAGGCTTTTAAATGAGAGCCCAGGCTGCTCTGTGGGGAGCAGTGAAGGGTCTGCAGCACAAATCTGATGAGGAGAGGCTGAGGGAGCTGGGGGGACTCAGCCTGGAGAAAAGGAGGCTCAGGAAGGACCTTCTCACCCTCTACAACTCCCTGACAGGAGGTGCAGCCAGGTAGGGGTTGGCCTCTTCTGCCAGGTCACAATAGGATGAGAGGATACAGCCTCCAGCACTGCCAGATTTTTGCTGGTTTTGCCAGTGCTCCTGGTCTTGGAACTTAGGGTGCTACAGTGGGTGAATCTCTTAGTTGTCCCAAGCAACAAATATGTTCCTCTACTCTAAAAGAAAATAAACTATGAAGGCAAAAGAAAGAGAGAAAGGGGAAGAATAGAAGTGAGGAGGAGTTTGTAGATTCCTGAGAATATTTCTGTACCTGGTATTTCACAGGAGTAAGATTTTATGTAACCAAAGTGCATTTAAAAGTAGGATTTTTCCATATCCATAACAGAGCTGTTTCTCCTTTGAATAAATGCATTCACCCTATGAATATTCAGATGCTTTTCCTGGACATCATCACCTTCCATAATGTCAAACCCAAAATCTCCAGTGACATGAATTTTGCAAAGATCTATCTTATCTACAGACCAGACCAGCTGAGGCTGCATCTAATTATGAATGTTGGTTTGGTTTTGTTCTGAAGATTTGTTTCAGGGCACTAACACCACTCACTCACCAGCTGCCACATTGAGATGCAGCTGACTGTGTCTCCTCCCTGTTTGGGTCCTGCTCTCAGATGTTTACAGGTGATCTCCAGGGTGCTTGGACTAATTTATCTTCTAGATCAGGAGTTTGTGTGTTCAGGGGAAATACACAATTTATCTGTCAGGGAGAGACAGAGCTCTCCTGCATTTCAGGCTGCTGACAGCTGATGGGATTGGCAGGAGTTAGTGTGCAGCTGAACATGGGATTTATGTTCTCTGGGGACCTCCTGTGCCTGGAGGAAATAGTCTTCCTAAGGGAATTTTGGGGGGCTTTAATTAATCTTTTCCCACAACACCTTCCTTTTTCTAGGTATCACCGCAGATGAGATTCAGATTAGATGTTAGGAACAATGTTTTCCCTGTTGTGGTGTTGAGGCCCTGGGATATTGCCCAGGGAGGTGGTGCAGTCACCATCCCTGGAGGTGTTTCAGAGGTGTCTGGATCTGGTGCTGGAGGATCTGGGTTAGGAGTTCCAGCAGTGACAGCTTAATGGTTGGACTCAATGATCTTAGGGGTCTCCTGCAACCTTGATGGCTCCATGATTCTATGAAATGCCAAAAAGTTTGGCAAACGTGAGAGGTTTTATCTGATCCCTAAATAGCATTTTGAGCCCTTCTCCAGGGAAATGCAGGACAGCAGCTGAGCAATGACAAGAGTTCTGTCAGTGAGCAGCTCCCCAGCTGCAGCAGAAATAGTCTGCAGGGGTTGAGGGGGTGTTGCCTGTGTGCTGAGATCCCAAAACACGTCGTAATGTTCCTGTGGTCAGCGTGGCCATGGTGGTGTGGGCTGTGTCAGGGAGACACGCTGTCCCTCACCAGCTCTGTGGGCTGTGTCTGCAGAAACTCTGCAGGCAGGAGCAAAACATCCCTCAGCTTGCACTGAAATCCCAAGGGGTGTTGGGTCACCTCATACAAATGAGTAACAACAACTCTTACGTGTGAGCGACGCACGAGGGAGGGAAATGAAATGGGATTTTGGACTCGGCACAGCGATGGGATGGACCAGGAAGGTCAGCGTAAAGAGAAGTGGGAGATGGAAAGAACACAGGCTGACACTGCAGCAGCTCAGAGTATGAAGTGTTTATGAATCCTGGAGATCAAAACAAGCCTTAATGACACAGGCTGGAGGATTTCTCTGGGAGTCTAGGCCCATGGCACACACAAGGGTTCCTGTCTGCCCCTGCAAGGGTCAACTGCCTCCTGCAAATGCCACCCCAAGGGAGAAAGCAGAGTGTCAGCCCCGACGTGTGGAGCTTCTGTCTCCCAAAATTCAATGTCAAAACACTGTGAGGCGTTCAGAGGGAGACATCTGTTCCTGTCTCTGTGTGAGTGTCTCTCCCTGCTCGAGGAGCTGGAGCTGAACTTGCCTGCGTGGAACTGCGTGTGATTATGGTAGTTCAATTCCTGGGGTTTGTTGGAAGGAAGAAATACTGAAATGAAGGCTGAGGTAGGGCTGACTGGGAATGTGAAAGTTAGCCTTGCATGTAGGGTGAGATGTTGGTTCTGCTGGAGTCAACTCAGTTATTTCAGAGAGACCTGTATTGGAGGTAAAAATACCCCCAAAACCTGATGAGAACCCAGAGATAAAAAGTTATGTGTGAGACTGGGAGCAGTTGGGTAGAGTTAAGCAGTTGACAGCACAGGAAACAGTAGCTATGTGCCACAGAGATGTGTGACATGTGATGTCAGACCGTGGAGTGTTCCTGTGATGGTGTCCCCATGGCATGGAATGTTCCTGTGATGGTGTCCCCATGGCATGGAATGTTCCTGTGATGGTGTCCCCATGGCATGGAATGTTCCTGTGATGGTGTCCCCATGGCATGGAATGTTCCTGTGATGGTGTCCCCATGGCATGGAATGTTCCTGTGATGGTGTCCCCATGGCATGGAATGTTCCTGTGATGGTGTCCCCATGGCATGGAATGTTCCTGTGATGGTGTCCCCATGGCATGGAATGTTCCTGTGATGGTGTCCCCATGGCATGGAATGTTCCTGTGATGGTGTCCCCATGGCATGGAATGTTCCTGTGATGGTGTCCCCATGGCATGGAATGTTCCTGTGATGGTGTCCCCATGGCATGGAATGTTCCTGTGATGGTGTCCCCATGGCATGGAATGTTCCTGTGATGGTGTCCCCATGGCATGGAATGTTCCTGTGATGGTGTCCCCATGGCATGGAATGTTCCTGTGATGGTGTCCCCATGGCATGGAATGTTCCTGTGATGGTGTCCCCATGGCATGGCAGCAGGCAGCCAGGATCCAGGAGATTGAGAGGTTGGGCACCTCTCCCTGTGGCTGTGGGATGGTTTCAGGTGCTGCTGGCAGAGTGGCAGAGGGTGAGCACAGCTTCAGCACCACACCAAGGCTGGATGTGCAGCAGTTGAGGAGAGGAAAAGTGAAGACTAAGGCACCTGAGAGCAGCATGAGGCCTGTGAGTGGTGGTGAAGCTGGTTAGAAACACTCCTGACATCTCCCAGTGGCTGCAGAGAGTCCTCTTGGGGCTTCACGCTCGCTGGAGGTATTGCAATTAGTGTCACAGTGCCACGAGCTCAGAGGAGAATGGAGTCGAGGCAGGAGTGAGGAGGCAGCTCACCTGCTGTGTGTGATCATCATTTGTCGAAGATGAGGCTTGCCTGAAGTCACAGAAATAGATTCCAGCAGAGGATGAGCAACAGGTAATAGCAGCAATTAAGCTGGAGGAGAGCATTTCCCCAGAGTGAACTGGAAAGATGTGGGTCAGGAGTACAAGTGATTAGCTTGACCTGAGAGATGAAACCAGAAATACAGTTTGGGAAGCTGAGAAGGAAGCAGAGAGTGACTGACACATCTCTCCTGGAGCTGCTGGGTGGATCTGAGAGCTGCTGTGCCCCAGGGAGGAGAAATGGGCCCCACTAGCTGCAGCCAGGACAGGACAGTCACTGCACTCCCTGGGATAAATCTGGGTTTGAACCACCACTTCTGATTAAGAAGGTAGAAACGTGTCCTGGTATAAAGCCAATTGTATTGGTATTCAGGCAAATAGATTAATTACCTGGGTTCTCTCTAATCTAATAGTGCAAGGACTAATTTAATCAGGTGTTGTATGTGGGTTCACAGAGTCACTGTGAAACACACAGTGAAGAATTAATGTCTCTCCTGAAGTTTCTCCAGTCTCGGGGGGTTTTGTTCTTTCTACATCTCAGATTTATTTGGACCCTGATTCTGCAGGACCCTGTGCAAGCTCCATGTCACCCCCTGAGAAGAAAGCCCAGCACAGGAAGGACATAGACCTGTTGGAGCAGGTGCAGAGGAGGCTGTGAAGGTGACTAGAGGGATGGAGCAGCTCTGCTGTGAGGAAAGGCTGAGAGAGTTGGGATTGTTCAGCCTGGAAGGGGCTCCAGGGAGACCTTAGTGCTGTCTGGATAAGGGCATGTAGTGACAGGACACAGGGATTGACTTCCCACTGCCAGAGGGCAAGGATAGGTGGGATACTGGGAAGAAATTCTTCCCTGTGAGGTGCTGAGGCTCTGGCACAGGTTGCCCAGAGAAGCTGTGGCTGCTCCATCCCTGGAGGTGTCCAAGGCCAGGTTGGATGGGGCTTGGAGCAACCTGGGCTGGTGGAAGGTGTTCATCAGGAATTATCTCCTTGAAGTATATCTTGTCATTGTAGGCTGTGGCACAGTCTGTAGGCAACTGTCTCGTTGTGGGGAAAAGGCTGAGGGATAATCCAACAGTTGACAAGCAATTTCTGGGGTTCTATCTGAGGATTGCAACCCCATAAGAGAAGCACTTTGTGGCTTAAAAAGAACCAAGCCAAAACAATCCAGGGCAGCTGTACCAGGAGGAAATCATCACTTGTCCCATAGTCTTAAACCATTTCCTATATGGTTTATGAAAAATAATCACAATGCAAACATGTTCATGGGCAAAAATGAGATTCAGAAGTGTCATAGCATGTGAAGGTGACTTGATATGAGCTCTGGTGTGGTCAGTGGACACCCTGAGCCTGGGGCATCGTGTTGGCACCACCACAGGAGATGTCACTTTGGGTCAAGAGCTCGTTGGGTTTGCACACCAGCGCTGGTGTTGGGTGAATGTGCAGGGGTTGTCTGCTCACCTAGGCAGGGGGAGCTGGCTGGAGAGTGCCCAGACCATGGGAGAGAGATGCCTGGCATCAACTGGCTCCATGCCCTCGTTAGTAAAGCTGAGCATGCAGCACAGGAGAGGACACAAAGCAGCTCCTTGTGCAGGACTCGGTGCCGTTCGGGCAGGGACGTTGCTACCCGAAACGTATGCAAGGACAGAATGATTAGGCTGCAACTCATTAGCAAAGTGGATTGCTCTTAATGACTCCATTGATTATTTTTTTTTTCCCCCTACCGAAAGGAGAAACGGACAAAAATGAGCACAGTATACAATTATTTGGTGCCGCCTCCCGGCGTTTTCTTCCCAGCCTTTCTGCGAGGGCTGTAAACAAAACCAGATGGATGAAAAGGGTTCCCACCACAGAGCCAGGGCCAGCACTGAAAGGGGCCACTGTGTCCCAGCCCTTTCAGCCCTTGCAGAAGAAAGGGCTGCTTGGTGCAGCTCATTTCCCTCTCCCGACCCGGCCACCCTCCTCTTCCTCGTCTCCTGGGCAGGGCTGTGCTCTGAGGGTGCTGGTGCCAAGCTGTGGAGGAAGCATCCCAGTCCTGCCCCCTCTACAGCAGCCCACTGAGCTGGGAGGGCTGTGCTCTTTATTGGTGTGTCACCCACACAATGGGCAAAAGGCCTTTTCCTGGGAGGTTTTCTCCTTATGCTTTTGTTTCTCTGAAAGGATGTCATCAGCTCGGATGCTTCCCCTGCTTGGGGCATGGGGAGGGTAGTGCTTCCTAGGGGTGGGAGTGGGATGAGCCTTTCTGGCTCAAGCAGCAGGAAGAGTGCATCAGGCTGCTTTTTTATTGCCTTAAATTCACACACTTGTTAAGAAATCATAGGATTTTAGGGGTTGGAATGGAGCTTAGGGATCATCCAGCCCCAACCCCTGCCCAGGGCAGGACACCTCCCACCAGAGCAGGTTGCTCAAGGCTTCATGGGTTTTTCCATGTTTTGTGTCTGTTTGAGCCTCTGAAAGCAGTGATGGACACTGGTAGGAGCACAGTGGGGAGTGATGGTCCAGAGGGCTGTCACTTGAGCTGGGGAACCAGGTAAGTGAATCTCCTGGAGATGCTCTGAGCCTCAGCCATCATTTGTGCCTTTCAGAGCTCTGAAACATATTGGGCAAAGCCTTCATCACTACCAGCTTGCTCCTGGTTTTGTCCAGATGCATTGTGGTCCCTTGCCTGGAGAAAACTGACAGATTTGGGCTTTGCTGCAAAGTAGTTCAGTGTTCCTCCTCTCTGAGGCAAAGCTTTTACTTTAAAAAAATGTATTTTTTTTTCCATGCTTTCTGGGTCAGTGATTGCTGAATTGGAATTTGGGCTGATTAGTCTCTTGGGGTCTTTTTTAACATACTGAGAAAACCCTTCTGCTGACAGTGCTGTGCCACAGGGAGCGGTGGGAGCGCGTTCCTGGCTGTGGGTCCTCCAGCACAGCCAGCTCTGCAGTCTCTCCAGCAGCACTGGGGTGATCACTGCAGACACATTCTGCAGCCTTTGTTCCTGAGCTGGATCCCAGCTGTGCTCCCAGATAAACTGCTCACGGCATCCAGAAACTTCTCCCTTTTGTTTTGCTTTTGTCTTTCCTCCTTCCTCTTTGCAGACAGTGACAGGTTTTGATGTGTGGGGTAGAAAGGGACTCTCTGTTGTCCCACTCTGGGTTGGTATCTTCTGCTTACAGAGGTGGCTGAGCTTGCTCTGTTGCAGGTTGGAGACTCTCACGTTTCTCCTCTTCTGCTTCTGTTAAGGGGTTGGAATGGAGCTTAGAGATGATCCAGCCCCAACCCCTGCCCTGGGCAGGGACACCTCCCAGCAGAGCAGGTTGCTCAAGGCTCATCCAACCTGGCTGTGAACACTGCCAGGGTTGGGGCAGCCACAGCCTCCCTGGGCACCCTGGGACAGGGTCTCACCACCACAACAGGGAAAACTTCTGCCTAATAGCTAATCTAAATTTCCCTCTTTGAATTTCTCCCCATTACTCCTTATCCTGTCCCTGCAGCTCCTAACACAGATCCCTCTGCAGCTTCCCTGGAGCCTCTTCAAGTTGCTCTGAGGTCTCCATACAATGTTCCCTTCTCCAGGCTGAGCAGCTCCAACTCTCTCAATCTGTTTTTGTAGGGACATACAAGCACTTGGGTGATGGACCTGGTGCTATCACTGGGAATATTACCAAGGCTGAGATTTAGGTTACTGCATTTGAGGCACTTGTTTGACACAAGATATCTTGGGTGGCTTGTGTTGAACAGTTCAGCTCCAGCTGGTTTTGTGCAGAGCTACAAGGACAGTCCCACTGGATCCTTCTGCTGCTGCTTGGCAGACACAGGTAGTGAGGGATGGGATACATCTTCTCCAGACCATCCCAAGGGGAATGCCTAGAGAGATGCTGCTGCCAGTCTCGTGTTTGGGGTGGGACAGGAGGCTTGGCATGGCTGGTCTGATCAGACCACTGTTTGGGAAGCTCAGCCTGTATCCCCCATTGTGAGAGTGTGATTTCAATGTGAATGGTATCTCAGCCCTAGGTTAAACTCTGGCTGGGGTTATCAGATGAGGTATTCTTGCTCACAGCAGCTGGCTCAGAGGATTTCCTGCCTCAGTGCGTTTGCCTCGGAGATTATCTTTTCACAACAATCCACAGGGTTGTGTCCACAAGGTGTATCTTCACACAAAATGGGTTTGTAAATCAGTTTATTGGGCTCCCCCTGGGAGTGAGTCTAGAGGATGACATTTATGAGACTGACAGTGAGGAAAGGGAAGAGTTTCCTATCCCAGTTCCACGGTTGGAGTTGTCCAAACTCCATTGAAGGTTTCTACCCAGCTCTGAACTTAAACCTCCCAGGTTTGGAGAGCTGATAGGCATTCCTAGCAAGCCCTGCCTTGGTTTGTTGCTGTCTGCAGTCACCGTGTACAAACTGTGTGGGTTTTCTCCCTGCAGGGTCGTGACTATTGTTCAGAAGAGGAGGATGTCACATAGTGCCAACTCTGCCGCTCGCCCCAGGAGTTCTACTGTGTAAATAGATTCCAACCCAGTCGAGACCTTTTGGAAGTCTTCTAGAGCGAACAGCACTACATAACAGAAGAAGATCATTTCCACATTATATGCTCCATTCAGTTACAGTGTTTCTTAATGACCAGATTGAGGAATATTGCTAAGAACTCGTAAGGAACTGTTTTTGTTGCTGCTAGTTAAAACTTGTTGCAACTTCTCACTTTTTTTTCTGTGTCCAGATACGCAGCAAATCCTTCAAAGTTAATCCGAAAGACATTGTTGATTTTCTGGAGGCCTCTGGCCTGTTTTCTATCAGATGAGGTAGTGTTATACAAAGCTTCCATAAGTGAACATTCAAGCATCTAAGAACACCCTTAAGCTGTGTGTCAATCCGCCCGGGCCGGAGTGCTTATTAGTGCTGGTGATTCCAAGCTTTGGAGATGGGATGTTTTTTGCCATGGCAGGCCTTGTTTCTCTGCTGAGAAGAAGCTGAGAAACTAGTATCCATTAAAAAGCATGTTGTCACTGAAATACTGGAAGTGATGCAGGAGCAGGAATTTGTATTTTGAGAGGAAAAAGAGTTTCATTTAATAGGTATCTTAATCGAGGACTAAGCTTGCAGTATTGGCTTTGCTGAGCACGAATGGGAGTGTGATCACAATCATTTTGAATCTCTTTTTTTCTAAGGAAATAAACATTTTACTGTTTTTATGTATTCTTGTCTTTTACCATTCCTACAACACAAGGTTTTAAGAGTCTGGGGACAAGGAAGACCAACCTAGCTCTCCGTCTTGATGAGCCCCATGGATCTAACCTCTTAAAGCAGCTCTGTGCCAACTGGGAGGATCTTGTTGTGTGTCCTGTAGAGTTTATTTTTCCATATTAAATGGAGAGGATATTACCTTCTCAAAAGCAGATGTAATATTTTTAACAAATGCTGTCATGAGTTAAAAAAAAAAAAAAAAACCTAAGGAAAAAAAATACAGCTTTTGTATTTATTATTTCAAAGATTGTTACCTGTGCTGATGTTTCTTCCTGCTTGGAGGCCGTGTGAGGGCCAGGTCTGCTCTGATGCCAGGGAGACACTGTTGGTGTGTAGTTTGCTGTGTTGGTTTTGTTGCTCTGATGCCTGTGGTGGATGTGGGTTAGCCCAGGAGATTGGTGACATCTGTCAGGACGTGGAGTGGGACACTCTGCCCAAGTGTTGGCCACTTTGCACTGGACCTGCTGAAAATCTGATCCCTTGAAGGGCTTCTAGGTCCCTCCAAGATCTGAAAATGTCTGAATTATTGGGGAGTTTCTTGGCTAAAGAGGTTTCTCCATCAGTGTTTGCTCTGAGTGGTGTTGGACAGTCACAGAAGGGTCAGGTTGGAAGGGACCACAGTGGGTCACCTGGTCCAACCTCCCTGCTCAAGCAGAGCCAGCCCAGAGCACATCTTGGTCCAAGTCAATTTTCATTCCCTATCCCTGCTGTGCTGTACCTGGAATATGTCAAACCACCCCAAGTTCCTCATGCTCACCCCCCTGCACTGGGTTTGCCCTGGGGCAGTGGGGTAGGGAGGACCAGGGCTGGGTGTGAGCACCTCCAGTGTGTGAGGCTCTGTGTCTGTTTCCTTGGGGCAGGAGCTGTGTCTGGGCTCTGCAGGCTCCCCAGTGTCCTGCTCTCCTGCCAGCCCCAGTCTGAGCCCAGTGCATTCCAGCCCTGAGACAACTCAAGTGCTCCCAAGCTTCAGCAGCTTTCCCTGTAGGAGCTCAGTGTCAGGGTCCTCTCTGGCCTGTTCAGCTTTGTCGTGGTGATGGTCAGAAATTTCCAGGCAATTCTGATTTTCCTAAATCCTCACTGCACTTTGGCAGCTGCTTTGGCCCTGCAGCTCTTCCCAAGCATCCTGACCTCCTTGGAGATGAGGTTTCCCTGCCTTCCTCCCATCACACCATCCTTCCTGGGGCTCTTCCCAAGCATCCTGACCTCCTTGGAGATGAGGTTTCCCTGCCTTCCTCCCATCACACCATCCTTCCTGGGGCTGTTGGCATCTCTCAGGGCTGTGGAGATGTTTGATTTGTGATGAATTCTCTAAGGTGATATGGTTTTTTTCCATTACTTATGCCAGGTAACCCTGCTGAGGAGAGGTAAGAGACTCTGCATGTCAATTATTTAAACCACTTTAATTAATCAAGAGTCCTGAGGCTTCTCTCACAGACCTTTCTCTCCAAAGGGCTGTGCAAAGCTTTCACAGGCAGCACAGGAGTGCTGGGATTGAATCTCTTCTCTGGAATGTTTCATTGTCCAGGTGCTGCATGTCCCACACAAACCTTGTGTTAGACACATCCTGCTCTTTCAGCCCATATTATATGGACTTGTTTTCAGCCCCCTCTTAGTTTTAGGAATTTCTCCTATTTTTTTTGCTGCTGCTGCTGCTGGTACCAAAGGCTTTGGTGGAGGCTTTGTGAGAGAGGAAAAGCAATTCCCATTTGCCTGTGCTTTTACTCCAGCAGCAGCAAGTGCTTTGGTCTTCTGTTGTGTATAATAACCTCACTGCTGGACCTTTGGGGGACAATGTTTGGGTACACTGTCCTGCTGCTTGGCCTTGGCCTTGTGCAACCTGATCTAGTGAGGAGGTGTCCCTGTCCAGGGCAGGGAGGGTTGGGACTAGGTGATCTGTAAGGTCCATTCCAACCCTTAAATTCTATGATTCTATGATAGGAAGGAGGTTGGGAAGGCATCAGGATTTACCTGAGGAGCTGAGGTGCTCCAGGACTGCCCCAGGCTGCAGCTGGGACTGCTCTTGCCTTCTGCAAGAAACACTCTCAAGAGCTTCTTGGGATTTTTTTTCAGCTGACTGAGCTTCTTGGTCAGGCAGGAGAATTGCTCTTAAACAGTTTGGGATATGGAACAGCAAAGGTCACATCCCACGGGCAGATCTGTGAGGTTGCTCAGCTGAATGTCACTTTTGAACCTGCTTTATTTCTTCCACCTTTGGAAAATCCTGGCCAATTTTGTTAGAAGTCTAAATAGATGCAGCAGCTGAGGAGCTGTAATAAAATAAGCAGATTACTGTGGCTTAAAATGCATCTCTGCTTGAAGCTCTACCTGCACGTTACTTGGCTCAAACAGGCCATGGGGGGAGAGAGGAGGGTGGGGAGAGGAGGAAAACTGCTTAGATCTGATGCATTGTGCTTAGTTGTAAATGGAATTTCAAGGTTTCTTTCCAAAGCAATCTCAGGCCACTGAGTTGGGGCCCAAACTTCTCTATAGGAGCCTCATCCAGTGTTCAGTATGCTCTGAGTCAGATTCTGGGCTCCTGGAGAAAATCATGAGGTTTTGCAATCCATGTTTTTCCCTTGATGTTCCTGTAGCTAAGGCCCTTTGGGCAGTGCTGGTTTCCCTCCTCAGAACCTGCCCTGAGGAGCTGGAGGAGCTCCCAAGAGGTTGGTGCCATCCCCAGCCTCGTGCCGTGCTGTGTCTATTGCCACACACGAGCTCTGACCTAAAAAGATGCTTTTATTTCTTCAGGTACTGTGAGTTTCTCTTCACCTGTGCCCCCCAAACCCTTCCACTCCCTGAAGGACATGAATTTCTGCCTTTGCTTTCAGTCACAGTTTGGTTCTTTTGAGTTAAGTCTTGCCGTGGGACCCAAAAGACCCAACTCTGTCCTCCCCCTGCCACAAGCCCTTGGTGGCCATGGAGAGCTGGGGTGGGTTTGTGCAGCTCTCCATCCCTCTGTGCACAGCTGGAGTGCAGTGCTCTGCACCCCTGGCTGCACAGGGAACTCTCCATCCCAGAGTGGATGAGTGGCTGAAGCACCAGGGAGAAGCTCGTGAGCGCCGAGGACGTTGCCGTCAGTGTATGAAAATGAGGCTGAAGATAAATGTTGGGTTCTCAGCTATTTTGGGTTTATCAGATCTGTAAAACAATAATTTCCTGTCGCTTCCATTTTGGAGTTAGCAGTGACTCAACTGAGGATCCTCTTGGCTGACACACCAGACCTTCAGGATCAGAGAGGCTTCAGCTGCGCCGAGGAACTGATGCAACGTGAGATTTTAGCAGCAAGGGGTGAACTCCACTTGCTGTTGGCACTTCTGTCCCACCAACAGCTGCTGCTTCCCAGGGGACAGTCTGTGATGCCATGAGGTGTCCATGGTGGTGAGACACCAGCACAGGGTGCCCAGAGCAGCTGTGGCTGCTCCATCCCTGGGAGTGTTCCAGGCCAGGCTGGATGGGGTTGGAGCAGCCTGGGCTGGGGAGGTGTCCCTGGAACAAGGTGATCTGTAAGATATTTCCCAAGATTTTATGACTCTGTTGAAGTCAGTGCCCTGACTCAAGCACTTCATGGGATGTTGGGCAGTCTGAGCAATATTCCCTGCGCCAAAGAAGCTTTGATCTGTCTGGAGCAGCCACAGCCTGGGGGAAATAACTACCACTTTACTCCAGGCTAACCAAAAGCTTTGTCTGCAGCCAAGGTCAGTGTGCAGGACAGGCAGTTTTTATGGTGTTTGGTGTGAAAGCACAGGGCTATGGAATTTCCTACCACTGTGTCTTCATGGAGGATGCTCTGGGGAGTGTTGAGCATTATAAGAGCTTTGGGTCGTGGTCCTGCTAAGCAACTCTCCTTTTGCAGGCTGAAATATTTCTCCTTTGAGTTTAGTTCTGGAGATGCTGAGGGAAGAGGAGCCAAGGAATGGTCTTGGAGTGGCACATTACTTGTTTACTGTTGGGTAGGAAACCTTCAGGTCAAACAGCCAAAAAGTTGGGTAAGCAACAAGTGAAAAATCCTATTGTTGTTATTGTGCTGTTGTGGCAAAGGGAAAGAAGCCAAAGCTCAGGGGATATCCAACATGGGGAAGTTGTAGAATTCAAAAACATTTATGTCTTTGCTTTTTATAAAGACAATACTATTTTCTTTTAGTTTGGCTGCACAACTCTACCCAGCACAGCCAGGTAAAGGCTCACTGTGAGCCTGAAGGTGGAAGTCATCATCTTCACCATCATGATCATCATCTTCTTCATCATCATCATCGCTGTGACGTGTGTGGGACTGTGAACCTCCTCCATAAAGGCCAACTACACCCACAGCCCCATGGACACCTCTCCCCTGCACCCACAGCCACCACAGGAGCAGCCTGGGATTCCTTCCCTCTGCCACCCTGGGTGGTTTCTCTTTAAATCAGGAGCAATTAGCTGTGATTGCAAGCTTCATTACCAGCATCACTCTCACCTGAGCACTGTTGGCAGGAGGTGTTCCCCTGGTGGTGTCAGCCCCTGTGCTGAGCTGGGCTGGACTGTGGTGACCTCTGCACCCAGAGCTGGAGCAACCAGCATCCTCCTCCATCCTGGAGCAATATTCCACGTGCCACAGCAGCTTTTATCTGTCTGAGACAGCCACAGCCCAGGGGGAAATAACTACCACCTCCTCCAAGCCCTGCACAACTTCTGCCCGAAACCGTCAAGGTATGAGTTGAACTGAAAATTTCTTCCCTCTATATAATATGTATTTTTTTAAAAAATATACCTCTATTCAAACTATGAAATTTTTGAGACAAAAAGTTCTGGAGAGAGCAATTGCTGCCAGAAACTAGAAAGCTCCATGTGGGAACTGAGTGATATTCTTGGGGTTTTGGCATTCTGCTTTTGTGGCTATTAATAATCCCCTGGAGTGAGTCATATGGAGCTGCATTTATTCACCGAGTCGGAGAGAGCTGCTGCCCAGAATAGCAGCT